TAATGTGCTGACACTTGTTTATTGTCCCACAGGCAAAATCAGACATCACTTGGATAGAGAAAGACCTCGTGGACTCTGCAGACAAGGTAGGAGAGCCTGCAGTGAGCACCTCAAGGAGACTCATCCCTTGAATTTGCATTTTGTCCCATGACGTGTTGTCCCACACATGAGGGATGTGAGCAGAGCTCGCAGGGACCTCTGCAAACCAAACCCTCCCCTGCTGCACGTCCCTGCCAGCTCCTCTCAGCTCTGTGGGGCTGCTGGTACACACAGCAGCTATTGCTCACTCCTCACGTGACATCCTGGACTTGACTTCATCCTCCTCCTCCTTCCTCCCCACACCAAACCCCTTTCCGTGCTGTCATTTGTGCCTCCTGTGGCTTTCTGATCTTGTCAGTGCTGGGAGGGCACTTTGATTGTGTGGATGTGCAGGGGAGTTTTTGATTGTCTTTCTGAGGTTTTCCTCCCCACGCTGGTAACACAACAGGAAGAAACTCTCTTGGTTGGGACAAGCTTGATCCAATCCTGCCTGGCCCACAGGCAGAGGGAACTGGCTGCTCTCCCACATGGCTCCACTGAGCAGGGTGAAGCTTCCTTGGAAGCAGCAATGCTTATCTTTGGGCAGCACATTGTGGACACAGTTTCTGCTTCCCTGGGACTGTGGCAGAACGAGGGAGGTGTGGTATGAACCAGGCTCCTGGCTGTGCTGTTCCATGCTCCAGCACCTGCTCCCAGCCCCTAGGACCTCCCCAGTCACTGAGGTTCCTGCTGTGGAGCTGGGACCAGCTGCTTTGCTGGGATTAAGTCATTTGGTTCTTTCATTATTGGTTGTGGGGGCAGAGGAGGCAAGACAGTCATAATTTGTCTCTCTGAGTCCAAACCAAGATCCTCTTTTCACGCTCTGCCCTCTCTGGAGGAATTCAGTAACGTTGCTGACATTGCTGTTTCCAATGGCAAAGGTGTGTGGGTGTCCTTTGACTCATTTCAGAGGGTTTCTTTCTTACCTGCACTCCCTGGGGTCTTGCTGCACAAAACATCTGTCTGTACTGATGGAAAGGTCAAAGGGGACAGACTTGGATGGGGAAAGAGGCAGAACAAGCCACTTAAAGCCTCTGCCCTGTCCTGCCAACACTCTGAGCAGCAATGGGGTCAGAACCTGCATCAGAAATGCCCTTAAAAACACCTCCCATGGACCTCCCCAGGGTGGCTCTTAGGTAACCTCAGTGTCCACAGCAAGGACTGCTGTGCAGCATAAAGCAAGTGAAGGACTGAATGCAAATCCTAGCAATCCCAGAGGATTTGCCCATGGATCCTACCATGGGTGCTCCATCATCCCTGTGAGAGCAGAGAGATGTGCAGCTTTCCGAGGTGGTGTCAGACTTCTTTGTGGGCTCTCAGGAGTTTTTTCTCTTCCTTTTTAAAGTGGCTTCTCAGAATTTTCCCCCCTTGTGGAAATACCCCATAGCTCACCCTGACATAAAATTCAGGCAGCATCAGATGCAAATCACTTTAACTAGACCATGTGTGTTTGCTGGCAGTGTCTCATCCGAGCCAGAGAACCCAAACACGAGCAAGGAACTGTGAGATTATTATTGTTTTAAAAGCAAAACCCCAAAAAGAAAGAAGTCCTAACCACAAGCAGTGCTGCTGGGGAGTGGGAGTGTGAACCTGCCTCGGTGTGACCGAGTCTCTCAGCATCACTGCGCATCTGCCAAGTGGCTCTAACCACCTGTATCTCCTCCTCCTGCTCCTCACGCCTGGGGTGTCTGTGCAGCACCCTGGGACCCCCCAAGCCCTGGGAGCTGACAGGGACAGCAGTTCCTGGGGCTGGGAGATGTGGAGCGGGATGGGAGAATGGAGAGGGACCCTAAACTTCCTCGGATTTGGGCATTCCTTACACTCTGGCTGCAGAGGAAGCACCGAGCCAAGCCCTGCAGCCTGCAGCTGCCTGCCCCCAGCCATCTCGCCAGCCCGGTCAGTACCACCACACCTCCCTCTGCTTCCCTTGCTCTGTCCTTGGCTGCTTCTCCAGGGGGGCTGATGCTTTCCATGGAGACTCAGAGCGCTGTGGTTTGCTTTTCCGTCTCTGCCTTCTGGGATGGTTTGCTCATGGTGCCGTTGGGAGATGTTTATCTCAGGGGTGTGCAGGTGCTGTTGTGCTGGAGACTTGTAGTGTGCTGCTAACTAAGCTGTAGTTGGTCACCAAAGTCCTAACTGATGAATTCCAAGTTAGTGGATGAGTCTATGGGAGGAAAACACTCCCTTGTGCCAGCAAGATGCCAAATGGCATCTCAAAGCCTTTCTCAGTGTCTCTGTGAGCAGTGTCTGTGCTGGTGCCACTTTTGGCCTCATTGGTCTGTGTGTGTTGCCTGGTGTGGTTTGGCTGGGTATGTAAATCCCTGCCTATCCTCAGCTGCAGCTTGGGCTGCTGAAACCACTTGCAGTTGAACACAGTGGGTATTGGCCATGGCAAAGAATTCCCACAGCTGTGAAAATACAGCGTTCCAACGCTCCTGAGGAGCTGTGGTAGGAGGATCACAGGATGCTTTGGGTTGGAAGGGCCCTTAAAGATCATCAGGTCCACTCCCTGCCATGGACAGGGACACCTTTCACTAGCCCAGGTTGCTCCAAGTCCCGTTCAACCGGGCCTGGAACACTTCCAGGGATGGGGCAGCCACAGCTGCTCTGGGCAACCTGTGCCAGTGCCTCAGCACCCTCACAATCACCACCCTCACAGGGAAGAATTTCTTCCTAACAGGTCCTCAGTGGGCCCAGATGTCTCAGAGGTGGATGCAGGAGTTCAGTTTAAACATTTCTCTCTGCGCAGGTGTGTGATGCTACAGGGTGAAACGTGTGTGGTTGTGCAGGTGCTGATGCTGTGTAGACCTGGTTTCTCTCTAGCGTTTCCATGAAGATGAAGGGAGGGAAATAGTCTACAGCTTCCACTGGTCCCATCCCCAGGTCTCTCCCAGCTGCAGGGTCACTCCCTGGAGAGCTGAACTAGCTCTTGGCTGGCTCCAGCTCAGGCTCCTGACTAGAGCTGGGAAGCAGCTCCTCACAGCAGCTGTCTGCAGGGACTAAGCCTCCAAACGGAACCAGAAGTGTAAAGTGGCTGGTTTAAGCTGGGAGATCATATGGAACATGAAAACCTGTTGTTACAGGGATTATAGGATCTTTCTTGCCTGTGATCACCAAGACCAGGAAAAGGCAGGATAATGCAGGGGAGCTCCTGCCCTCTCCCTGTGCTGGGGCTGTATGTGCTGCACCGCCGAGAGCGTGGGCTTATCTGCTAGCTCTGAGTGTCTGAGCAACACAGGAGCTTGAGAGAGCAGAGCTACCACCATGGTAACAAAGCCACTTCCTAAGCTTAGAGACAAGCCCAGCCTGAGAGCAGGGAGGGAAGGGTGCTCAGTGCAGGTAGGCAACCACATCCGTGGCTGCTTGGCAGGGCCACCCAGCCCAGGGAGGCTCTGGGAGGGTGGGGAATGGGCTGGGGGCACATTTGGTTCCTCTTGAGTTTAAAAGCTGCTTAGATTAGGTGGTTCCAGACCAAGAAAATAAAGGGGAAGTTTTTTCCCCCCAGATCTGCAAGGGGAAAAACTAAATAGTACTTTCAGCTTTCCACAGTCTCTGAAGTCTATATCTGCCCTAGGGTCAGGGAGAACTGAGTTTAATGCACTTTGGAATGTAACTGCTAGACTTAAGGTCCAAAAAGCAACCAGACCACATGTGCCACTAGATAAGGTGGGAGTGAAGTGCTGAGGAGCTTAGACTTGCCCTTACAAGACATCCAGTCACAAGGGATGTATGTTCTGGGTAAGAGTCATGTCTGTAGAAGTGGGAAGTGGAGTCCAACCTGTCCTGTGGGAGAGGAGCAGGTCAAGCTCACAGGGAACATAAGTACAGATATACTGACTAGGTATGATCACGAGAAGTAGAGGGAAAGGCACAGATGGAAGATAAGTGGTGTAAAAAGTCTCTGTATATGTGGGATGCAATGGAAAGCAGCACAGAGTGTTTCAGTTGAGCTGAAATCCAGGTTTTAGGCACCAGAGGTACAGACAAGGTTTGCTGGGGACAGGAGATGTTTCAGCATCACCTCAGGGTCTGTGGCTATGTTGGAATTCTGGCCTAGCTCCACTGGTGAGTTTCTTCCATTGATGCCGATTAAATCTATTTTTTCCTCTTTATTTTTTGAAAGTAAAATAATGTGTTTTAAACAAAACATGTGCCAGAGACCTTGGCTTCCCCTCAATCTTCTTGAAGGCTTGAGTCTGTTAAGGCATCATCTGTATGTGCTGAAGATGCACTAAGACTTATGTTGCAGAGTTGCTCAGATTGCAGAGCAGATGGGCTCCAACATGTCTGATTTTTGCCAGCCCTGGCCCTGTTTTGACAACAGTGCCGTATTTTTTGTGTTGTGGGATTTTTAGTGGCATAAACACTCCTGTTTTTGCTACCAGTGCCTTAAAAAGGAAGGTGCTTTTCATGCACTCTTCTGAAATGCAGTTCAAAGCAGCTCAGAGCCCGCGGTGGGAGGAGTGGAGCTGCTGGGAGGAGAGCACAGGGGGCTCAACAAGGCTGCCTGGTGCTACCTCCCCCTGACTGATTTGATCCAGATGTTCAGACCTGTGATGAGCACCAACTTCTGTGGTTGTCTCAGATGTGGTTCCTGTGAGTCTGCAGCTACAATCCTTGTTCCATAATCCAGTAAGGCTGTTTTCCCTTGGTCAGGAATGTATTCCCAATCAACCCTGTCCCTTCTTTTTCAGGGGGAAGGTGTTGTGCAGGAAATCAACATCACACACCATGTGAAGGAAGGCTCTGAGAAGGCTGATCCTTCACAGTTTGAGCTCCTGAAGGTGCTGGGACAAGGCTCTTTTGGCAAGGTGAGAGCAATTCTGGCACGTGCCATGCCAGAGAAGTGATTTTGATGACTGTTCCCAGTGAAACCACTTTCCTGATTCCCACCAGATCATGAGGATCTGACTGATGAGCCCACTGAGCAATGTGAATCTTAACCTGGAAGGTGACTGTAGTGGTACCTTTCATCCTGTGTGTCCAAAGCTTTTGCAGGTGATCAGGAGGAGAGCAGTAGTGTCCTGCTCATGAGTGCAGGTGTCACACAGGGCAGAAGAGCCTCCTGCAGCTCTCTAGCTGCCTGTCAACCTGTCACTCAAACTGAGGACTTGGAGGACCTGAGCATGTTCCTCTCTTCTCAGAACTGCTGCCAGGGACTGGGTTTGGCCCCTGTTGATGGTCCACTTTCTCCTCTGTGAAGGGGGAAGGAAGTAGCCTGTAACTCTTATCTATTTCAATGTGTAAATAATCCAGGTCTCTTACAGACCATCTGCTGACACATTAAATCAGCTTCATGCTAATCAGTTACCAGCACTGACAGTGTGCTCTTGCCTGGGCAAATGCAGCAATAACTTTGTAGAATCAGAACCATTTGGGCTGTAAAAGACCTCTGAGGTCCTCCAATCCAGCCATTAACACTTCCAAGTCCACCATTTACAGGTGGTGTCTTTTTAAGGCTGCTTAAAGCCAGGTAGAATGAGACATCAGGGAAGGGAAGGAGGAAAAATTCCAGAGGATGCAGGACCTGAATAATAAGGAGTTGTTGTGCTGTCAAACCAGCTCATCACCAGGAGGCTTAGTGATATATTGAAGCATCAGTGCTTCCAGTCACAGCTTCCAGGCATGAGCCAGAGTCCCATGGGAGCTGCAGGAGTGAGCAAGAGGTGTGGAAAGCTGGAGAGGAGGAAAGTGCAGTGTGAAAGCAGAAGTGTTGCAGTGGCTGGAGGTGGGGGGTGAGAGGAGTCCACACACAGCTCTTCCCTGGAAACCCCATGGGGTTTCACATGGAAAGCTTGAGGTACAGCTGTGTCTTAGGGATACTGTGAGGTTTGCCACTGTGGGAGACATTCAGCTCCTGCTGCTGATGTTTAGTGCTTGGTGAACATGATGTTCTTCGGCCTCAGGTTTTCTTGGTGAGAAAAATAACACCACCAGACAGCAACCACCTCTATGCCATGAAAGTGCTCAAGAAGGCAACGCTGAAAGGTAGGAAGGAGACTCTTACTGCAATTCTCTGATCCACCACGTTTTAAAGAGCACTGGGGAAATGCCACAGCAGTCCCTGCTGGCCTTGGGGTGGTCTGGGTGAAAGAGGAGTGTCTCCATCTCAGATGAACATCCTCCTCCTCCTCCTCTCCATCTATACCAGATCCTTGTGCAGTGATGGAGGTGGGAAAACACCTGACTCAGACTGCCTGGTGCTTAGGGCTGGGGACAAGGACCACACTGGGGTAGTGTGGGTGTTTTTCTGTGTCTGAGCTGTTCCTCCCTTTCCACAGTGCGTGACCGACTAAGGACGAAGATAGAAAGGGACATCCTGGCTGATGTGAACCATCCCTTTGTGGTGAAACTCCACTATGGTGAGTGTGGAGCTACTTGGGACACTGGGAGAGGAGCTGCAGGCTCCAACAGGCTCTGACTGCCTTTAAACACAATCCCCTTAACACAAATCCTTTCCTGGAAAGGTCTGTGGTCCCATGCCTGCTCCAGCTGTGGAATGGGGATCAGAGCACAGACAGGGAGAAGAGGTTTAAACATCAAATCCTTGGGATTAAAATCAGGAGAAACTGAGAAAGCAGAGTTAACTAGTCAAGGCAGCATTTGGCAGGGTTCATGCCCTTACTCTGAGGAAGGCAAGGACATCATCTTTCCCTGAAAAGTAACTGGTGCCTCTCCCAGAAAAACAGCCCTTTCAGTAGGGCATCACTGGCTGAAAGTGAGTCCCATAAAATGAGGATTTTCTGCAGTGCCAGAGAGCTATGCAGGGCTCCCATTTCAGCAGCACAGACAAGCCATCTCATTTACCCCAGATAATCAGCCCTACCTGCATTTAACCTAGTAACCATGCAGGGCATCTGCCCAACTGGAGCCATTGGGATTTAAGTGATTAATGTCACACCATGGAGCCTTCCCTCAGTGGAGGGGTCTGATTCCCTCTCCGGCTTGTGTTTCAGCATTCCAGACAGAGGGGAAGCTGTACCTCATCTTGGATTTCCTCAGAGGAGGTGACCTTTTCACTCGGCTTTCCAAAGAGGTGGGTATGCTCTGGCATCTCGGTGGGTTGCTGAGGCTCAGCTCATCTGTGCTTAATAGCTTAGAGAAGGCATTGATCCTTGAAAGTCTTTGAGAGGGGTGGAAACAGCCTCCAACCTGCTGCTAGCCCAGAGATGGCAACAGGAGAGGGTGTTTTGGGAGCCCTGTCCTCTGGCAAGACAGCAGCACCACAGGAGACAGGTCTCACGTCCACAGCAGCTTCTGATGAGCACCTTGTTAAGGACTGAAACTAAAAGAAGATCAATTTGGATTAGATGTAAGGAAGAAATTCTTCCCGATTTGGATTAGATGTAAGGAACAAATTCTTCCCTGTGATGGTGATGAGGCACTGGCACAGCTTGCCCAGAGAAGCTGTGGCTGCTCCATCCCTTGGAGTGTTCCAGGCCAGGCTGGATGGGGCTTGGAGCACCCTGGGCTGGTGGAAGGTGTCCCTGTCTGTGGCAGGTGGAACAAGATGATCTTTAAGGTCCTTCCAACCCAAACCATTCTGGAATTCTCTGAATTGATACTTTAGGATAGTGGGTGAATCCTGGGAAACTTAGAAAGGGCAGGACGGAGCAACACAGGTGTGAGAGGTCTTGCATGGGTGCAGTAGAGCTGGTCCTACAGCCAGTGCTGTAACCCCAGCACTTGTCCTCTCCCTCTCCCTTCTGGTAGGTGATGTTCACCGAGGAGGACGTGAAGTTCTACCTGGCAGAGCTGGCACTGGGACTCGACCATTTGCACAGCCTGGGAATCATCTACAGGGATCTCAAACCAGAGAAGTATGTGTGGCCCAGCTGAGGTAGAGATCCAAGTCCTTCATCCAGCCCTGAGCCTGCAGTCAGCAAACAGCACAGCCACGTCCACGAAGGCTGGAGGGTGCCCTGAGGCTGGCCAGATGGGAGGTGGCAGTGCCAACCCAAGGCTCCTGCTCCTCAGATCAGTGGTTATGGCCAAGGAGCTCTGTGGAGGCAGCATGTGTGCACCACATGTCTGAGCAGCAATCCCTGGCAGCCTCCAGGCTCTGGCTTGAAGCAGTTGAGAGCCTTCAGAGGGAGAAGGCACCAGGCAGGGCCAACATCAGCTGCATGGCTTGGTTGTCCTTGCCTGGGTTATGTGGGGATCATAGTGGGGCTACCCTGTGTGGGTCATTTGATCAGTGTGAAGTTGAGGGTGTGGAGAGAAAGGAGCTGCTCCTGGTTCTGCTCATGGAGTTTAAAGCACTGGGGGAAGTGATGGGTAATTTTCTCCTCTGGATTTTGGCACTCTCACACCTGCCACTGCTGTGCTAGTTCTCCCCAGCCTTCACTGCAGACAGTAACAACTTGTTTTTCCCATTC